ATGATCCATTGTTAGGCTGATGGTCCTTCTTGAACATGTGAGCAGCTGGTTTTGGTTGTCAATGGTAGGGCTTTAACAGACTACTCGAGTAATCAATTCCTAGGACATCTATCGAGTTTTTAAATGTCACGTTGAGTATTTGTACTGACGTCATTACGTCGCCATTACGTCATTGCGTCACGTGTCATGTGATCCGCACCGGCGCGGGCTACAAAATGGATTCCTCCAAGCAGACAGATGGAGCAGAGCAGGCCCAGTCTTGGCAAACAGGTAGAAAATGCATCAATAGTATGAAAATATTTCACTAAAAATTAATCTTCCGGTTCAACTACCGTAAGGAAACAGAAAATGAATTAACTTCCTGACTGTTTGGAACTCGTTGTGAACCGGTGTTACACCGTATATTGTGACCATAGGGGGCGGTGTTGCTGTTGCAGGTCACAGAATATGGTGTGACACCGGGTCCAATTGACCAAACCAGAACCAGCTTCCTCTGACCTTGTTTCACAAACAAAAAGCAAAAAATATTAATCTCTAAACCTAAACCTAATGCGCACCACAGCTAGCGGTGGTGCGGGGTGGTCGACCCCCCCACTGTTTTTAATTTTGTTTTTGACGTGCTGCACATTTTTTCACTTTTGCAGCTTAATAATAAAAACTAATAGTTTAGTTTTTCCTGTGATTTATTTGCAGTATGATAAATGGTAGGAGCAAAATATATGCTCCCAATGTTTTGTTGGTCTTTTATTGTAAATAATAAATGACTTTTTTGCAGTTTAATTTATTTATTTATTTATTTTTGCATTTTTAGATTTTATGACGTCATCAACTACTCGAGTTCTCGAATTTTATTACGTTAATGTCGAGTTTAAAAATTATGTAGTCGTTTAACCCCTAGTCAGCAACAAACTGGTTGATCCACTCTGAGAAGGTGCTATTTATAAGACTGAGCTGAATACAGCACCTCAGACTCAAGAAGTCTGTCGGATGAGAAACGAAATGTTTCAACTTTCTTTTTTGTTTTGTTTTTTGAATGTCCAGAGGACCAGATTTAACTTTTTTAGATTCTTCTTCAGTTGTTTTTTTTAAAGGAGAGTTTACCACACTGCGCATGTCAGTACTTCTGTTCAGAACAAAGCCCGCTGCATGTAAACGCTGTCATGAACAGATTGTGCCCATGTAAATGATACATTTGAATTATTTAATCTGAAAACATTTCAATCCGGTCAAAAAATTTTGTGCATGTAAACATAGCTTCTGTCACTACAGTCAAACATGGAAATGGCTGCATCATTATATGGGGTGATGAATAGATAGCATTGGGATAAATGTACATACAAATATACTGAGCATTCCCAAGAAATGTCTGCTCCTCATTCTTTTATGAAACTTTATATTTCAATTCATCATCAGCTTAAAGTATTTTATGAAGAAGAGGAAGAAGCAGCAAAAAATGTAGATATCCTGGAGTGATACAGGCAGAGTTTAAACCCAAATACATTTATCACTGACAAATGTGAAGGCTCCGAGTAATGAAATGACATATTTTAGGCTTTTAATTCTAATTGATTTGCATAGTTTTGTTTTTGTCATACTGGAAGATCGTGAGTACTGACACAACAAAACGTGAAAAACTAAATCAGTGTTTTGCATACATTAACCCACTGCAACATTTTTTGTATATTTAATTGCCGAAGAATCACCAATTCTTAGCTATAGTTACTTTAAGGCATATTTCAACTGCATAGCAATTTGTTTTCCACCAACTCAGGTGCTTGTCATTGTACTTTTGGTATTTTATGACCATAAGTTGAATTACCTGGGTGCATCTCGATCACTGGTCCAGTTATCTCTCTTGTGCCAACTCTCATACAGAGAAACTCCCTCCTCTCCTTCCTCTGGACTGGCTATCTACACAGAAACACAGACAAAAGAGGCCAGGGACTAAATAGAAACATATACAGGATAATAAAACATGGGAAACATTTCATGTATGAATCAATTTCAGATGAGTTGTGTGGTTAAATAAACACCTGCTTGGTGAGGTCGTACACTAAAGTGTGTAGAGACGGAGTGCAGTCAATTCTCAAAGTGTACATACCTGCAGTTTAAAGAGTCACACATTTGCTCAAATAAAAACCAACCCTAATGCAAATAATCTTTGTTTTTTATTGAGAGGACGTTAAAGCTCACCCTCTATGGCAGAGTCTGCATTAATGTAAGCCACAGCTCTCTCCTGCAGCAGCCGTGCATTCTCCTGTTGGAAGGAATGAAGTGTGGTCAGTGTGGGTTCAGAGCTTCAGATGTATGTTTGCATTTACTGTGGTACCTCTGCCCATTCTGTAGATCCCAGCAGGCCAAACTCCTCTGCATCCCAGGAGGCAAATATTATAGTCCTCCTTGGCCTCCAGCCTGCACAACACATGTGCACACACGATGAGGAACAATTAACACTATGCAAAAGTTGAGTCATTCACTCACTTAAAAATCTAACCTTTTCTAAGCAGCTTGCCGGCACTTCTCACAGTTTCATGGGTCACTGCAGCCCCAGACATGGGATCAATTCCTCCAAACACCCAGGCATCACGGTGCCCTCCCAGAATCACATATCTGTCTACACAAATGGCACAAAACAAGAGGAAACAAAACAAAAATAAACGATCAAAAAGCTCAAAATCTTTTTTTTTAGTCTTAAAGTCAAGAAGCGTGCAGGAAACAACAGCAAACAAACATAACTTTTGTCTTAATTAGATTCCAAAACATGCATGCATGTTTTACTACCTGGTTCTGGAGCTCCGAAGATCTTTCCAATGACGTTGTAGACCCTGGCGATCTGGTTATTAGTGTGGATGTTCATACGCACTTTGCTGCAACAAACAGAAACAAAAACACGAGGACGAACAAATAAAAAGAAATAAACACACACACACCATCAGAGTTGGATTTAACAGAGAAAGACTGCTGTGAGGAATTTCTGCTTATTTGTTGCCTTTTCAGAAGACTAACAGAGGGGAGGTGAAAGAGCAGCAGGACGCTCAAACTGTACCATCGAACATGAATTCAGCTCTATAAAAATACGGTGAGTAAATAGGTTTCCTGCATGTGTTTGTTGAGTTTTATGCTGTTTCAGTGCAGGGTGACGGGGCAAACACAAATGTGTGTCACAAACACAAGAGCCCTCGTTGTTCCTCAGTTGGCTCTTTGCCACTTCAGCTCATACTTTTGGAGCAAGAACAACAAAGAGGGGTGGGTGAGGGCACCTCAAGCAGAGTGAGAACTGGAATGAAGTGGCAGAAAAACAATAAGATGAGAGGAAAGAGGTCGATTTTGAAGTCAGAAGGTGGACGTGAGAGTCCCATAATGGCAGCATGAAGAGGATACACAAGTGGCCACTTCAGCACCGTGCAGGGGAACAGTTTTAGAGGAGCTCTTACTGGCTCTTATAGTCCTCTGTAAAGCCTGGGCCGATCCTGTAGGAGATATTCAGAGCTCCTTTCCAGTTGTTGGGTGGAATCTGTCCTCCCATGTTCCTGTTGAACACACAGTACAAATAGTGTGTACACCATTTCAAATTCACAAAAAAACAAACAACAAAACGTATTTTCTGGCGTATAAGTCACTCCGGAGTATAAGTCGCATCAGTCAAAAAAAGCATCATGAAGAGGGAAAAAAAAACCCATATAAGTTGCATTTATTATGCATCACTGCTGCCCCGTTGTGTTTATTATGCATTTATTTAATGGTCAAATCAGCTCTATTTCACCTGTCCATCCATCCATCGATCCATCCATCGATCCATCCATCGATCCATCCATCCATCCATCCATTCATCCATTCATCCATCCACCCATCCACCCATCCATCCATCCATCCATCCATTCACTGCACCAGCTGAGTGAAGCGAGCACGCATGGGAAGACTCGCTGTTGCAGTTCTTAGAAATTTAAAGCGTCAGTCAAAAATTGTGTTATGAATATGGAAAAAAAAAAACTTATATGAGTTGCTTCAGCATATAAGTCGCAGGACTGACAAAAAAATTATACGCCAAAAAATACGGTATTTATCCTGCACAGTTATACTTCAACAGGTGAATTGCATCATGAAAGCCAATCGGATGCACAGGGATGCTGGGAAGTCCCACTCCATCCTCCGGGCTGAGTCTATAGGTGTACTCTGGAAAATAAAAATAAAAAAATGCATCTTTGGGGCTTGTTGTGTTGTTTGAACACTCAAACAGTTTATATAAAATACAATAGCACACCTTTAGCAGGGTAGCCAGGTGTGAGGGGGTCTCCTGCTCCGTTCAGGTTCAGAACATTTCCTCTCTGAGCTCCTCCTCCAGGCAGGTTCCAACCATCAGGGTACGGCTGAACACAAATGTTTAACCACAGAATCTGTCTTAAAGCGCTCATTTTTTCAGTCCTGTTGTCGTTAGTCTTTGAGGGAAAAGAAAGGCTAGATTTGACTTTTTTTTTGTCGAGTAAGGGCTTTTAAAGTCTCACCTGGACTCCTGTAGCCCAGTAATCAGCTGGATCTGAGAACATAATGATCCCTTTTGCTCCGGCTAACATGGCGTTCTTCACCTGTGGGATGAACAGAGTGTAAATCAGAGGTGTGGGTCGTGTTCGTGGTGAGCAACATTATATTTATCTCTGCCTGAAGAACAGGGGTGACTGAACTCAATAAGTACAAGAAATAGTCAAATGTATTTTAAAAAATTCACAGTGTGGTGTAAAAATCATATCTTTCCTTACTTTATTACCCCTAAATATTTTCCCATATCTGACAATAACAATCTTCCCCGTCACATTGATGCTCATCTCCCTCTCTAACTGGAAGAAGTCCTCTGTTCGACCATAGTTCACATAAACCAAATCCCCCTGCAAACAGCAACAGGAAACATTTTCAATGAATTATTTGTTTTGTTTTTTGACTCTGCATGTTTGTGAGCACTGTTTGTACCTCAGGTTGTCCTTTGGCAGAGTAAGCGCTGTACGGAGGCACAATGTTGGAAACATCTTCATACCCCGGTGGAATCGGCTCAGCCAAAGAAGTGTTAAGAATCTGAGTGATCAAAGATGACACAAGACCACCAGAAATTAGATTTTAAATATATATTTTTTGCCTTGTTGGTGAATTTGTACATGATTTTTTTAAATTGTTCAAGTTGTTTAATAATGCTTTATATTTTTACTCTTTCAGTGGGCTGTAAAGAGACTCGTCAGCCACTCTGTGTCACTATTTACTCATCAATGCAAGATATTATCATCAGCACATCAAACTAACAAGTTCTAATATGAAGCAAGACCATTTAGATGAAGACAGTGAAAGCTTTTTAAAAAGTTTATAACATTTCTAGAGCCTTTTTTTTTTATTTGATTCATCAAAGCCGCACAACTTTAGTGCATTGCTGCTTCAGTATCTTCAATTCAGTTTATTTATATAGCACCAAGTCACAACAAACTTGTCTCAGGGCACTGTACAAAAATATTCACATCGTACAAAAGCCAATTAGTAAAAGTTATTGAAGCCAGCAGATTGTGTTTAATCGTCACTTCGTTGCAGTCTCCCATCCTGAGCAAGCACAGTGGCAATAGTGGAAAGGAAAAACTCTCTTTAAACAAGAAGCTTCAGCAGAACCAGGCTCAAGATGAGCGGCCATCTGCTTTGACTGGCTGGTTTGAGAGGACAGGAAGGAGAGACAGAAACACAGAATGGCAGGTCCAGGTGTACGTTCTACTGGAGGAAAGACAAACACAAATGTTAAGATACAGGAGAAATAATTACAAATACAAAACAGGTTGAGCAGAGTAAGTAAAGACAGTAGCAGAGTGAAAACTGTGGTCAGTTTGTCCTCCAGCAGTCTAAGCCTATAGCAGCATAACTAAGGGACAGCTCAGGAAACCCAAGCCGACCCTAACTATAGGATTTAGCTAAAAGGAAAGTCTTAAGCCTAGTTTTAAAACTGGATAATGTGTCAGCCTCACGGGCAGAAACTGGAAGTTGGTTCCACAAGAGAGGAGCCTGATAACTGAAAGCTCTTCCTCCCA